ATTCAAATGAATCAATTTTTCTCCAGTTTTCTTTATTCATTGTCCTTTCACATATATATGAAGTTATTGAATATACTGTGGCTTAGGTCAGTCACACCTTAGAGTCAATCAAAGTGACATCTTTGCTCTTTAATACTATAAAGGGGGCTTTTGAAGCAGATTTTCTCAATGCAACACATTATTTGACTCCTTGACTGCTGTATGCAGGAACATTGATTATAAATTCAAGTAAAATGAAATATTTTACAACATCAGTCTTTTCCCTATTATCATGTTATTTATTTGTTTCGCTATATTTTTATTTTCTTTACAGTGAGATAGAATCCATTCTGAAAACTGTTGTCTTTCATCTTTATCAGTAAGTGCTTCAAATTCTCTTCACTTTCAGCAAGTAAAGTTGTGTTATTTGCATATTGCAAGTTGTTAATGAGCTTCCCTTCAATCCTTATCCCAAATTCTTCATATAGTCCAGATCTGGGATTATTTGCTTACTGTACAGATCGAATGTGTGGTAAAAGGATATAACCCTAACACTCACGTTTCTTGATTTTAAACCACACTGTATCCCCTTGTTCTGTTTGAAAACTACCTCTCCAGCTATGTATGGGTCGCTCATGAGCTATTCTTTGCAATGTTATCCACTGAGAAATGTGGCACCTCAAAATTCAGTAAACTTTCTCTTCCCCTTCTGCACTTGCTACTATTCTTCCTAGCTTTCTCTTTGCTGACATGATTTTTATTAGCAGATGTCAGCTCTACTGACACAATTTCATAGTATCTCTCAGACTTATTTAAGTAATTCTTCAACCATTACTTTCCTTCCCATTAAGTTTTTTTTTCCCCTTACATAGTATTCATTTATATCTTAATTTGTTTTCACTTATTTCTTTTTCTTTAATCTCCATCTACTAGAATATAAGGAATCCTGGTGTGGTGCTATGGGATAAAGCACTGAACCACAAGGTCAGTTTAAACCTCAAGGTCAGTGGTTCAAACTCACCAGCCACTCCTTGGAAGCCCTATAAGTGTTGCAATGAGTTGGAATCGACACCACAGCACTTAACAACAATGACAACAGTGTGGTGCTGCAGATTAATGCTCTGGACTGCAAGGTCAGTTTGAACCACAATGTCAGCGATTCAAGTACACCAGCCACTCCTCAGAAACCCTATTCAGGGTCACTATGAGTCAGAACAACCACAACTGGAATGTAAAATTCTGAGAGCAATTAGCTTGATTATGTATTTTTTCTACTGTGTTTTGGGGCTCTAGGATGGTGTCTATTCAAACTATTTTTAAAATTTCCTGTTGCATATATGAATTAATTCAATTTTCAAAATATCAATAATTTTAAGTTCCATCAAATTCAGATGATAATAAATACACATCTGTAATAAATCATTCCTTTTTTAATAGTTAAAAAATGCTTTGCCAAACCTATAGATATCATGAGTATACTGCCATTTACCTTCCCACATTTGTTTTGCTTGCATGTCTATCTATACATCTACTTAACTGATTATTATTGGTTATTGCAGGATTGTGTATGTAACAGTATGTACCTTTGTTTTCTTTTACTTTTGAGCACCCCTCAGCATCTTCCTTGGTCTTGGTCATGTTGAGTATATTGCCTTTCCTTTTACCAAGTGAATACATATTTACTCTCTAGTTAGTGATTTTACCTTCCTTTCTTTCCTGTTCTTGATAACCACCAAAGAATATTTATTTCTGTGTGCAGTTTGCTTACTTTTTCTTAATAATAAGCTCATACAATATCTGTCCTTTTGTGATTGATTAATTTCACTTCACATAATGTCTTTCAGCTTCATGTTATATTTTGCAGATTCTTTGTTATCATTTAGCATTGCATAGTATTACATTCTGTGTATTATAATAGTTTGTTTATTCATCCATGATGGGCACCTAAGTTGTTTCCATAGTTTTTCTATTATGACTAGTGTTGCTATGAACATGGAGTTGCATATGTCTATTTTTGTCACACCCTTTATTTAGCTAAAATATATACATATCTACATGGAGCTCTGGTAGAGTAGTGGTTACAAATCGGGCTGCGAACCGCAAGGTCAGCTGTTCGAAACTACCAGCTGCTCTGTGGAAGACAGATGAGGCTTTCTGTTCCCATAAACATTTACACCCTCAAAAACCATAACCACCACCCCCACCATCATATATGGAGTCCTGGTGTGGCGCTGTGGGTTAATGCGCTGGACTGCAAAGTCAGTTTGAGCCCCAAAGTTGGCAGTTCAAGCTCACCAGCTGCTCCTCAGAAACCGTATACAGGGTCGCCATGGGTCAGCACCGACTCGATGGCACTTAACAACAACAACATATGTGTATATATTCTATATATAAGGAGCTCTGGTAGCATAGTAGTTATGAATTGGGCTGCTAGTCTCATGGTCAGCAGTTCCAAACTAACAGCTGTTCCATGGGAGAAAGATGAGGCTTTCTGCCCCCCTAAAGATTTACAGCCTCAGAAACCCTGTACAGGGTCGCTGTGGGTTGGAACCGACTCGCCAGCACTTAACAACAACAGTATCAGTATCAGTAGAAATGCTGGACATATGATATTTCTATTTCAAACTTTTTAAGGAAGCAACATACTATTTCCCACAGTGGTTGTACAATTCTACAATCCTACCAACAGTGTATGAGAATTCCAGTCTCTCCACACCCTCTGCAGCATTTTTTGTTTTTTAACTTTGCTTTATTGGTGGGATAAAATGCTGTTATCCTTCTCTGAGGTTTTTGATCTTCTCACACTTAACAATGCAATCTGATTCCAATTCCTCAGTAACATTAGTCTGTCTCTTCAATATAATTATTCATCTAAATACACTGACCAACTTTCATTTTATTGAGGTTTTTTGTAATTTCTTTCTAAATAAGTGCCAATGTTCTTCATTTATACCTTCCAACTCTGTTCTACACACCATGCCATTGTCAAAGCATAATTTTGAAATTTTGTATACCTTCTATTTAGGTTAGCATGTGTCTGAACATGTTGGACATGAGAAAGAGGTGGATCAAACATGATTTACGATACAAGTATAACAAGAAATACTTATATCAACGAAGAACCTAAAGTTTAGCAACATGCTGTTTACACAGTTTTCAAGAAAGGGTATAAATTCTCCTGAAAAGAGTAATTCACAAACAACTACACAGAGACTTGCTACAAAGAACAATTTTTATTCAGAATAAGTTGATTCCTCCAACTGTATGGGAAATCAATACAGTCATAAAAGAAGATCAGATATTAAGGGAGTAAAGTTGACATTTGGAAAATAGTCAAATGATATTATGGAGCCTCTCAACAGAAAGATTGTTATCTGGAGGTCAATGACTTTATCTAACATGTCATATCTTGAGTATAAAAATCTTGGTATTCTACTGTCATCAGAGAGAGAGACTCTTAAATCAGAATTATTCTTAGAATCATCATTTCAGAAGCAAACAGTACTTGGATAGTGTTGGTCTAACAGCAAGAAGAATAGCATCTTCTGTAAACAAATGGCCAGGAACCATAACAGCCGGAGCCATATCCACAGCCATAGCCGGAGCCATAGCCACAGCCATAGAGGGAGCCGTATCCACAGCCGTAGCGGGAACCATATCCACAGCCATAGCCTGAGCCATAGCCACAGCCATAGCGGGAGCCATAGCCACAGCCATATCCGGAGCCATACCCACAGCCATAGAGGGAGCCGTATCCACAGCCGTAACGGGAACCGTATCCACAGCCATAGCCAGAGCCGTATCCACAGCCATAGCCAGAGCCATAGCCACAGCCATAGCCACCGTAGTAGTTGCAGCACATGGTGTCCAAAGGTGAAGTTTTAGTTGAAGTGTAGGAGGATGATTCTGAAGTGTGAATGTCATCTGCTCTTCCAGGGCCTTTATATACTGCCAGAAAGGGGTGGGGCACACTTAACACAGACTCTATAAGCTGATTACTGAACCAATTTTCATTTTTAAAAAGCTTATCATAATAAAGGCAATATTTTCAGGTATTTATGGCCAGTATTTGACTCTAGCTAATGAAGATGGTTGTAATAAAATTAACATATCCTGCATATTGAACAAATACATCTTATGGAATTTGATCAAAACAATTTAGATTTCCTCCTCAGAGGCATTAATTAACTCTCCTACAATTCCAGGTACACATACTTGAGGACAGACTGGGAAATGGCCCAACTTTTCATATCACAGCACCAAAATGGAAACCCCTTTGTAGGAGAGGAGCAAACAGTATGAACATATGGTGCGGCACACTCAAGTTACACCTGAAAAATAATTCAATCTCTGTTATGGTGGAAGAAACAGTATAAAGATGAGGCTAAGAAGACAAAATGGTGCAAAAGAGGGATCAAATGCAATATCAAAGTAAAGCATAATCATGATTTTGTCCAATGCAATATCTACTTAATCTAAGTTTTCAATGAATGTAACTTTTTATTATGTTAATCTCTTTAAAATACCATGCATATTTACCACACCAAGTTTTCACCTGTCAAGATCCAAAAGAAAGAAGCCCTTGTCATGCTGTAGGATATCCATTGGACTGCTATTTGCAAGGTCAGCAGTGCAAACCCACCAGCCTTTCTGACACAGAAAGAATAGGCTATCTACTCCGGTAAAGACTTATAGTCTCAAAAACTATATACAAAAGTTCTATTCTGTCACTCAGTGTTACTATGAGTAGCATTCAACTCAACTACAGTGGGTTTGGTTTTGGGTTTTCATGCCCCAATTATCCTTTCATAATTCATCTCAGATTGTATCTGACAACAGAAACATTTGTGTATATTCACAATCTGCATCAAGTGTCATTACTCTATTTTTACTTAGAACCAAGTTTCTAATTCTGATGTAGAATAACTCTAATGTGGTTGT